TGTTCCATGCGTGCTTAGGCCAAAAACTCTGTTACATAGGTGTTAGTGGAAAAAAAAAAAATTCAGAGGAGGTGGTGAATGATCACCAGCAGGTGCAAGAAGGCAAGAAACTTGATCAAGGTTTTGCCAGCAGAGCATGTGTGGGTTGTTTGACTTTGAAAAGGTAGGAGTACTTTTCTGGAATAGTCAAAGCAACCAAAAAGAGCCAGCCTAGGACAAAGCTCAAAGCATGGTCTGTAAAATGGCAGAGTTTGTGTTACTTAGTGTATGGAATACTCTTCCTTGTGCTAACTTTTCTTCATATTATGATATGAGCTTTTTATTCTATATCAGAAAATGAAAAGGAAGAAAGAAAGTAGGAAGATTAAAAAGCAGGCTTACTGTAAAATATTTCTCTCTTAAAGCACTGTTAGAAACCCTGTTTTCATAGCTTTTAAACTCTTTCCTCCGTCCAAGGTTTCCCACTGGACCATTAAAGAGGCCAAAACAGCCCCAGAAGATGACTTGTCTACATGCCCTGAAGATGAGCCTTTCAAATTTATGTTCATCTTTCTGAGAAGTGGCCTCCCATGGGTGTCTGGAGCTGTTCCTCACAGCTGGTGTGCTCTGTGCACTTGTTACTGCTGCTCCTGCAGACTGCATCAGCCAAGGAGGGCATGACATCTCCTGGGGACACATCTGTACTGGAACGGGGTGGTTTTCCACTCCTCCAGCTCTGAGCTGAGCAGCTCAGGATTGCCCTCACTATGGTCCCTGCTGGGTGCAGCAGCTTGGTCCAGAGATCTCTGACACCCCAGCCAGTCTGAATTAGTCTGAGATTCTGACACGTAATTTACGTTTGCAGACGCCTTCGGAGGCACAGTTCACTGAGCCTTCTCATGTAGATTCATGCTTTGCCAGCTGAAATAGAGTTGTTCTTACCTTGTTCTAATGAGAGAAATCATGGCTGTCTGCCTTCAGGTAGTCAGCTAAACCTCTTGTTACAGTGAGGGGAGAGAAATGGGTGTTTCTAATGCGTGATGCTTCTTCTAAGGAAGCATCTGAAGGAGGTGTTAGGTGAATTATAGCCTGAAAGCAACCCAACTCTTCACTGATGATGTGATTTGAACTAAAATTATTCCTAAAACTGAAAATCTGTGAGAGACCAAATTTTCAGTTACTGGAAAATAATGCAGTTTTACTAAGTATCCATAGTGGTATAATAAATTACTCCATCTTAAAGAAAAATACAAAATCAATATTTTGACTATATATTACAGAAAATAAGATTTTCATCTAAAATACTGGTGAATTTTGGGGTACTATGTTAGATAACTGAAGGATAAGTAAAGAAGGCATCTTCTTTTCTGTATTTCATAAATCTGGGGGACAGTCTATAGTATTTCTAGGTTGGCCCCTAGGTTAAGAACGAAATAAAACACACACCTTTCATTTTGCCTTTTCTCTGCTGTGTTTCACAGTCTGTGAAAACCTTGTTTTGGAAAGCCAGATATTTTATATTCTGCTTTGGTGGTCCCAGGTTCCTTGCCAGTTGCATGCCACATGCTTTACTGGTACCTAGTACTCATCTGTTTTAGAGCCACCATTGTCCTAAGTCACTGTCAGGCAGTAAGCATCTTTTTTACTGACTCTCAAGTGATTTAAATCTTACAGACTGAGACATATTAGGTGATTTCCTGTGGCCCTAAGAGTAATTTCCACTGTCTGTTGCTATTTGTTAGCTGAGGTCATATTTTCTACTGTGGAACAGTTTCCCCTGCAACTCTTTTCTTGCTCATGTCCTCTGATGTTCGTGGCTAAGCCACTACTGCTGTTGTCCTTGTTCATGACATGAGTCACAGATGTCACACTGTCTGGAGTAGCTCACCTCACCCAGTCTTTGATCTGGATCTAATCTGCGGGATGGAGACCACAGTCTCTGAAGAAAGATGCATATCCAGAGCAATTAAGGAAAGAAATCTAAAGGGACAGGATAAGTGCTCTGTTTACACTGACTTCCCTCCCCCCCCCTCCAAATTCATCTTGCTCCTAAATGCATAAATATGCATAGGACAGCTGGGATTTTTTTATGTTTTGGTATTCCCTGTGCTGCAGATCAACCTCATTTCACTGATAATGAAGCTCTGAAACACAGACTGTGTATATACTTATATGCATATATGAAATCTCTTTGTGAAATGATGGCACTTTGGATATTCATTCTTTCATCTACTTCCTATCTGAAGTGTATGCGAAGAGCTAGGTTTTTGTAGTATCAAAAATATTTGCTTGCAGATAAACAGAAATGCAGATAAATTTTTGAAGATCAAACACAGTGACAGTAGTAGCACCAGTGTTAGACCCCACGGAGCTGTTGCTTCTAATCCCAAATTTACTCATCTAGCCAGATTCACCAAGTCTTTCCAGCCACCCCAAGCCTGCATGAAACCATGTAGCTCTTTGAGATCCTACAAAGTTCAAGGTGATCCTCCTACTCCAGTAAAATCTTACGTTCCAGCTTTTGCAGATACATTTTTATAGGACACTTCTTCTATAGGTTAGTGCGTTTGAAGAGAATATATTGTAGTCTTCAAATTGTAAAACCAACTGCTATGAGGAAGCCTTTCCTTTGGAAATGCTAATAAAAACAATTGAATTCAACTTAGGTATAATAAAACGTGGTTAATTTAATGAAATGAAGGACACAAAATCCATTTGGATGAATGTGTGGTTTTAGTGTGTGGAGGTCTTAATCATGCAGCAAGCAGTGACTGCATCTTCATCATGAATAATTAAACCCCTTTCAGATAGGCAAATAAACAGAGGCTTTTTATATTTTTCTTTTCCTAACAATGTATTATGCTATTGAGAAGTATTTTGATATCCAAGGATGAAGGACAATGTAGAAGTGCAATGCATAATAACAATAACATTATTATTATTATTACTAGGAATAATAATAATATTATTATTATATGATTGCACTGGCTTTCCTTTTAAGATTTTCTACTTATTTCAGCTGCACATTTTTAATTGCTTAGAGAAATTATGTAGTCATATCTCAGAGTTGGTTTAATTAGAATTATTGATGTCTGAAGCAGTACCCAGGCTGGGGGAACTGGGGTCTGATCAAAGTCACAACTAATGGTTTAGTGAAGTTAAAAATTCAATCTGTAATTAACATTGAAAGAGAAAGCATATGCTTTCAAAAAGCACATTTTATACTAAGGAAAAAGGTACTTTTTATTTCTTTGGAAATCTTCATTACACTATTTAAAAAGAAGGGTAACAGTAATGACTGAGTTTTTCACCTGGAAGAAACATTGGATGCAACATTGTGCTTTTACAGACACTGATATACTTTCCTTAATTAGGTTTAGAAGTGCATGTGAAATAGGAATTTTACTTTAAGAAGGGTCCTAAGACTTCTTGAATTTTGACTCTTCTCTGGGGAAATCTTTCTAGCTTGATTGAAAGTATTATAATGTTTACAATTTTTAAATGTATTATACAGAAGAGATAAGTTTAACATTGGAACAAATTCTGATTTAAGGTGCTGAAGAAAACAGAAGACATTAAGCAGACGGTATTTTAAGGTCTGTATTAGCTCATTGACTCCTGAGGATGCACAGGACAGCTGAGCATCTGGGATGAATTCTCACCTTCATCCTGAAAGTGTCAGTAGATATGTTGGTTTAGTAAACTTTTGTGGAGTTTTTTGCAACATGTTGGCTCTGATTATGTAGTGAAGTGAAATGTGGCACTGCCCAGGTTTAACTGCGAAAGCACACTTTGTTCATGTTTCTGCCTTCGGGTTGTGCATGGAAATCATGACACCAAAGCACTTCTGTGACTGTGCACATGGTGGGACAGGGCTGGGAAGGTGGATAAATTTAACTGCACTGCTGCAGGGGGTGGTGGGTAACAGATGGAAGGTGGTGGGGCTGGGGAAAGTTCAAACAGACCAAAATAGAGAATGTCTTTTACTTGCATGACGAACACAAGGAAATAGGCAAAGTGCTGCAAGAGTCTTGGTTTCTCTTAAGCAGCCCTTCTGGGCTTCTGTTATTTGGTATCTTATATGGTCTTTTTGTGCACCCTTCTTACTATCAGAAATAAATATATTTATTCCAAGGTGGCTGGGGATCTTCCTTTGATGAGAGCAGTTGCAATTTAGCGTGCTGTGTGGAAGACCCACCACAGATTTCATCTTTTTATTTAACTGTGTTCACACATTCTCCAAAAGTATGCATTTTTATCATTTGCACTTTATTGATCAGCCCTTCCTGAACCATTTTCATCCCTAATTAAGGATGCAGAGAACTTTACATTATTCTGCTTATGATTTCAAGAGCTCATTTTATACTGATTGTTTGGGGATTTGCTTCCTTGGGAGAATTTATTACTGTATGAATGAAAATGCTTTTCTGAAGCTGTTAATCAGCTCAAGATTTTAAAAAACTAATTGAGAATATTTCTCATTATTATTAGATTCTCAGGGGTACTATAGGGTGTGCACACTATTATAATCTAAACCTGTAATTTGGATTTGCTTCGTGTGCCCTTTGGCACAATGGTATACATGGGAATTTTAAGGAGAATGACTGACATTTAGCCACCCCAGCCACAGTGAAGAAAATGTGCTCTTTATTATTTTCTCATCAGCTGCTGCCTCCTGTTAGCAGTGAATTTTTTTTCACAAGTGCTGTTTGATATACTCGTGTATGGAAGGGCTCAAACTAATCAAAAGAACTTCCTAGCACTATTGGGCTGCAATATAATCTTCTCAATGAAGTGGGGGTGGACTCATCATGTGACTTGTTCTAAAATTGGTCGAGGCAAATCACTAAAGAATTTATGGAAGGGAACATCTCTGTCATGGGATGTTCTAGATAAGATAATAGGCTATTTCTATCGCTGATGTTGAAACTTAGCATTTCAAGTACTAGATGGAGTGATATATTGCTTGTGCATTGTACCTAGAGATTGTGCATGAAGTCTGATGGCACTGGGTAATAATGCTGAGGCTCCTCCAGGAAGGTTTTATACATAGAGCCAGTGTCACCCGAATGATTCCTTTTGTGCAGTGCACTGGATTGCAGACAGCTGGTAAGTTGGGTGGAGAATGTTGTTTGTCAGTGTCCTCTTTTATAAGAGGTTTCATTCATCTTTCGTAGCTCTGATGGAACAATCTGCAGCCTGCAGCCTGTGTAGTTCATCAGTTTTCATTCAAGTGAGCATTCCTTCTGATTCTGAGGCAGAATCAGAGACTGACAGAATGGCTGAGATTGGAAGGGACCTCTGGGAGTCACCTTGTCCAACCCCCTGCTCACTTATGGCCACCTGGAGCCGTTTGCCCAGGACCACATCCAGATGGCTTTTGAGTATCTCCAGTGGAGACTCCACAGCTTCCCTGGGCAGCCTCACAGTGCAGGAGTGTTTCTGGTGTTCACATGGGCCCTGCTGTGTTTCACTTTGTGCCTGTAGTCCCTGGTCCTGTCACTGGGCACTGCTCAGATGAGCCTGGCTTCATCCTCTTGGCACCCTCCCTCTGGGTATTTATATGTGTCTGTAGGAGCTCCTCTGAGCCTTTTTCTCTCCAGCTAAACAGTCCCAGCCCTCTCAGCCTTTCCTCCTGTGCAAGATGCCCCAGTCCTCACTCATCTTCGTGTCCCAAGGTTGGTCTCTGCACTGCTGTTCCATCTGTCTCTTGTGCTGGGGAGGTCACGACTGGGTCCAGCATTTCAGGAGTGGCCTCACCAGCTGAGCAGCAGGGAGGATCACCTCCTCACCCTGCTGGCAGTACTTCATTTAATGCAGCTGAAGGCACCATCCACCTTCTTCACAGCAGAGTCATCTTTCTGGTTCATGTTCACCTTGGTGTCCACCAGGACCTCCTTTAGTGTCAAGCTGTGTTCCAGCTGGTTGGCACCCATCACCTATTTTCTCTTAACATCTGTCCCCTTTCGGTGGTTATTCTTAAATTTTGGGATCTTGGCAAAGAATGTACAACTCTTTAATTGCAGGCTGCCAAAGTTGCTCGCCAAAAGTACTTTTTATTCTCATTGACATAATAGTCTTTTTATGAGATACTTAATGTATTTTGCTATGCGGAATTTCTGGAATGTAATTGTGCAATCTGTAGTGAGTTTTTAGTATGGTTTTACCAGTCATTGTAAATTCAATGAATCTGAATTTACAGCAGCTATGCTTTCAATAGGCTTAAAGCAGCTGTGTATGTAAAGTAGTTTGCTTTAGGAATGGGTTTGAACTTTTTTTAAAAAAAAATGTATACAATCCTGACTGTGTAGAATACCTCTGTGTGCTGAGGGCTCCATTGTTTAAAGCTCATTGACACAACAGACCTTTCCTATTGATCTTGGTTTTCATTTTATTCTAGTATGCATATCTAATACTCTGAATAGTTGCTTATATATAATATATGCAGATACAACTCCAGAATCATAATTTAATTGAATTAGCAGTCGTGGGTGAAGATACTGAACATTCTTAAAAAATAAAGCTCGTGTTCATGAATCATGAAGAGAGCAAAGGTTGGCCTTCCCTCTACCTGGTTGCTTGAGAATATTTTTATAGGGAATAGAGAATGGTGACCTAAATGGAAGGAGAGTGGACTGGAATTCCAAAACTGAGAAGTTTCTCAAAGTTTGGTTTTGGACAACTTTGGAAAGGTATTTGTTTCTCTCTCTGCCTTATTTATCTCACCTGTTAATTGCACATTATATCTCTCTACCAATAAATATATTTTAACATATTTTATAGAAATTAAATCATGGCGGTCTTTGATTTACTAGTGGTCTGCAGTTCAGTTTCTCTGCAGAAATGCTACCAGAGTGATTTACATGGGTAACTGTAGCATGAAGACCACACGCTGTTCCTAAATAGGTAGAAGAACACTAAATTTGGACTCCTGACAATGTGCTCCAGTATGTTTAGGAACAGCATAATGTCAAAAGGAGTAAGAAAGCACATTCCTGGAGAACAGTGGGATACTGCCAGCAGGTACAAGGTGTTAGCAGGCAATGAGCTGGACTTCTGTCCTGACATTCATGTCATTAGTTCAGTAATGGCTGGAGTTGGCAAACAGGTTATTTTGACCTGTGTGTTTCCCATGCCCGTCTTCAAACCGGCTACATTATGCTTGATTTGCACTATTGTTCCAAGAGCTGGAATACATTAAATACTGGGCTAGTAGCCCTGCTGTTCTCAGGATGGTGTAGTTTGAGAGACACGTTGACCATCAGCCTCAAATTTGACAGAAAGTCTCTGCCTCAGGTTGAAACTTAACCCACTAATTGTGAAGACAGTCTTTTTCTGGCTTGTGGAGAGATAATTAAAATCCTATGTGCAGTGAAAACTCAAATGCAATGCTAAATATGAAACAGTTCTTTATCCTGCCAGGCTTTCTACTGAATGGTCTCCTTCCAGTTCTTATGTCCTACATCCCCCAGTAATCTTTAGATATAAGTAAAGATTCTTTCAACTCCAGTCTTGTGAAGTGAGATTTATTTGAATGAGCCAGGATCTTTCAGTTGCATACTCCAAGTGTGCTGCATATTTAGCATGGAAATCAATGAATATGAGGGTATGAGAGAGAGATGCACTAAAATCATAAAGACATCATCTTGGACTGTGTATAAGTATACAAAGTAATAAGATGAATTTCAATAAATTAGATGTTATATATTAAAAGAATTAATCTTAAAAATGCTGGTACAACTAGTCTGTGTTATTATTCTGATATTGGTTTAATTCCATTTATTCTTGGTGAGCTCATCAGTCTGAATTTGCATGTGAGTTTCAAATGATTAAAAATCTTTACACTGGTCCAAAATTACACAATAAAGCATACTACAGCTGTTCTTTAATTATAAAGGATGGTGAGCACACATTTCATCCCTGAAAGCCATATAGTACTATTAAACTGTTTGTGTGGGTTTGGTTATTCATGAATGTGAGTTTCATTCATTATCTTAACAAATGCTTTATGGTTTACCACTGTATCCTCGAAATAGGAAAATGGACCAAAGCCTGTACCATTTATACAGGACAAACTACTCCTGCCCAAGAAGGAGCTGTGAAGGCCAATATAAATATAAAGCAATTAAAATCAGTCTGTGAAAACAGCCATGACTACTGAAGAGAGAGGAATATGTTATTTGGTGTTAATTGTTTGCCCAGAATCTCCTAATGAGTTAAAATGAACATAATTAAAAAGGAGGCTAAATGTCAAGGCAAAATTTCCTAAGCAGTAATTCCAAAGCTTGCTGCTGGCTTCAGACAGAGGTGGGGGCAGTCTTTATCACCTGAGATACTTAAAGCTGTGAAGCTAAAAAGTGATGATTAAAGATGCCAGCAGATAGTTCTGAGACAGATGTCTTTCCTGTCCTTCTTGCTTTTTAGTATCTCTGTTGTCTTAAGAATGAAGCGGCCCCATGAGGCTGAGCAACAGCCACCAGTCATTATTCAAATGTAACTTAATTAGAGAGTTATCTGTGTTCTCTAAGTTACCATTTGTTTAACAGCTAAATTGCAGTACCAGCTGTATCCTTGGTATTCCAGGCACACTAGGCTGCAAACCTGTGACAAGGTCAAAGTGTTTTAGCCTCTCCTACTGTGACCAGGAAAATCTAGCAGACTTTAAGGGTGGCTGCTGGCACTGTATTTCTGCTTTGTATTGCATATATTTAAAAATACAGGCAGGCCCCTCTTGTAGCCAACTGTCAAAGCTAATATAGAAATTTAATGATATAAAAAAAATAAGGGTTAATAATAAAGGATAAAATTCAGTCTTTATATAAGTTTATGTAAAACTGAAGAGGTAGGCAGATGGGAGGGTTTGTTGGAGTTTTTTAGAGAGCAAGAGATTTTTTCATCTGTTCTCATCCGAAGTAGTTGTCTTTGCTTTCAGGGTTTATTTGAAATAATAGGATGAATCCTGTGCAGCAGGGACACTGTTTGCATAGTGCTGTCAGTGCCATCCCTCTCTTGCTATCTCTGTCTTGTGGAAGTGAGACTTAGGCTGGAGTAGGAGATGAGAAGAGGCTGTATTTTAAATATAGCTAATGCCTCAGTTGTCTGGGTGCATTTTTCTGGTGTTTTTATGTTGAAGAAAAATACTATCATGTGGAAAACAAAGCTGCAATGCTGTGGAAGCAACTGAGTCAGCTTTCAAGGTACAATTTTAATTCAGGAAGCTTGAGACCTGTGTGATCCTTTCTTGTTAGTACACACTTTTCCTGCTTATAGGTCTCCTAGTAAGTGGAAACTAAAGATAAGGAATGTATATTTTTTGCATAAAAAGAATACAGTAATGGTTTGATGAATAGACACTTTTACAATAAAACTCTTCTGTCTCATTGAAACTGTAGATTGCTGGCTGTTACGTGACACTGAACAGGTTTCCTTTTAGTATTATCACACAGTGACTTAAATGTGGTGGGGCATTAGAAAAGATTGAATTATTTTAATTTTACTTTTTCACAGGGTTCTGAAGCCATTGTGTTTTATTTTGAGATAAATGATCCTATTTATCTTGTCTGCATAAATACCTATATGAATAATGCAAGAAGCTGCTAAAAGTAAAAATTACACACCTGTCCTTAAAGGAAAGGATTAATACCTTGCAAGAGCTTATACAAAACCAACTGATGCTCTTATTCTCCAGTACAAAAATGTGCCATTTATGGGCATTTGCAAAGCCACTATAGTGGAATGTTTCCAGATCCATTAACAGTTGTCTGCTAATGGCAGTCAAATGACTGAGTGGGGTAAAAGCAGGCAACAGGATGATTTGTATGAGATCTCCTTTTACATGAATGTTATAACAAGGCTTGAATGAAAAAACTACAAAAACAGCATGTCTTAGAGCAAGAAATGAAAAGTACTCCCCTTGATGGAAAGGTAGCGCAGACATTTGGTCAGAGACTGCAGAGGAAAATTAAGATTATGAAGCTTCCCAAGGAAACATTGCATTGTCAGTTTCTCACAAGCACTCTGTTTTAGATGATAGTTACCAATGCAGACATGCAGAAAGCTCATACAAAACTACTGCCTATCCTGCTACCAGGAGCACCGAGGGCAAGCAA